ATGTCTAGCATTGCCCTATTATACATTAACTTTAATCTTGCTGATATGCGTCATCTCATAATTATATTTCGCTATTAATGTCTACTTGCAGCAGGATATGAGATTCCATACAATTGAATAACTATAAATATACTTTGCCCTAGCACCAAATTATATAATACTTATTTTTAACCAACATGTTGGCCTATATGTATTTCTACTTCTGTTCTTACCTATCAAGAAGCAGAATCTACCTTGATTATATCGGGAGCTATTTACTCCAGCTTGTAGTACCTGTTAATGAAAATTTGATAATTACGTAAAATTCTTTCGTTATAAGGTCATAGACGTAAAAGGACTCAAACCCAATGTTACTCAGCTTTTCTTCAACTTACAAGTAACCTACTTAATGCAATTCGTTTACATGGCTTTTTTTACATGCAATATTACATTCTTAGTTATTTGTTTAGTAACTTTCTAGATTTGGAATTATTTTCATATGCATAGACTAAACATATATTATACGGAATCGATACATTTCTCTCCAGAGAATAATGGAAACTCTACATAATAAGAAACGCAACAAAATACCCGCAAAGAATTTGTTACAGAAGCATTACCCCTAAATAGTCGGGAGCCCATCTGCAGCCCCTCGCGGGGCTAACAGAGTTACACGGAAAGAGTTTAAAATAAAAAACAGCTAAACTATATGGTTTTTAGGACCTTTTCAACTACCCTCCTTCGCATTATATTTTCAATCGGCCATATACAATTTTGAAAAAAGTATAGCGTTTTAATTGAAAATCTCAGCTAAATTACGGCAATTAAATAATTTGACAATTCTTATATATCTAAACCTGGTAGAAGATATTGGAAATAATTATGCTTTTAGCTGAGGCTAAAAGTACTTTTAAGCACCAAGTTTGTTCATGTTTGGTGTTGACAAAGAGTTTTTCCCTTTGTTATCTCTTAACGAAACCCTGTACTCATGTTAATATGATTAGTTGGGACAGATTGAAAAAGCCTCTTATCCTACCATACCATTAATCACCTTTAGTTACTACCCAATTATAACAGTGAAACGAATGTGTCATTTGGGGTATAACAAGTTTCGAATCAACTAATTTAGGAGGCTAGCATTATTAGATGAGTCAGAAGATTAAGGACCAGCCCTCGAGTAGACTCCACAAGAGTCTTATTCTCTGGTTTGTCCAATTTTCTACATGTTATAAGATGGGATGCAAAGACCGAAAGCCTCACAACGTGAGAGGTAGATTTCTAGAAATTTATGTGAGAAATCCAACTTTTGTAACTCGTGTCATCAAGAAGTTTATCCTCAGAATGACATAGAATATTGGCGATGTCCGTACCATGGCAAAGCAAGCCAGCATGAACTCATTGAAACCTCAGGTTATTCTAACCGTCTGACAGACAATTGTCTTTTAATGTGTCCTCCATTTACTTTCGTAGAGGCTCCTTTGTCGGTAATATTCTTCTACAAACTCTTAAATATTGTAATTAAATTCAGGCCAAGGTCTTGGATACACACAACATAATTATATAATAGTACGGGGTAGTAAGAGGTTACCAAAATAAGCTATTAAGATCATCATAATTGGCAACACTTAGGACATACCTTGAGCGATGGCTGACTGTCTCGGAAACAAGGGCTGCTTCTGGCGTAGAATAGCCTAGATTTGTGGATAGACTTGCCGGAAAGTGCGCCAAGGGTCTTTTGTTCCCACAGCATTCCTTATATGATGCAATGCCTTTCGTCAGGCTCTACCAGTTGTCTGCAAGACTGGACCAACCAAGACTGAGCAGACAAGGCGTCTTCTGTATGAACCAATCATTCCGGCCTTGTTTGGTAACCGATATTTTGCGATACCCAACAACACAAGAAATTTGGACAATTTAGGAATGTATCGCAAATGGCCAGTCGCCTGAGCAGCCGGGCTCCCAGTTGAGCTCTGCCAATCGGTCGAGAAAAAGCAGCCTTTGAGAGGACGGCAGAAGGGGTAGGGCAGGCGTTGGCCCGCTGGTGTACCGGTGTTCCGGTGTCTTGGTGTGTCGGTGTGT